AAGCAATGAATGTTTTTACTATCCATTTTTTATCACTTGTTTATTCATATTATTAAAATACAGTACAAAAATTTAAAAAAAAAGTTGAAAATTGAAACTGGCAGCTGATGAAGTGGGGGGTCTCAAAAAATCGGCACCTCAGTCTTAACATGATTTCAGCCCTCCTAGTCATTCGAAATAAAAGAAATAAAAAGATTATTCATCTACAATGATGTCGCAATCGCTCGAACTAGCGATGAGTAGAAATTTTTTTACAAATTGGCGACTGTTTGAAAAAAAAAGTTTTTTACTGTTTTTTGAATTTCTCGAATTTTTTAAAAATAGTAAAAATAGGAATTTGGAGATAATCCTAGTTCGGGCTATAGATAGGTCTACAAATAAGACTATCTGAACATTTCAAGTGAATTGGTCGACTAAAACTCGAGAAATCGTGTCAACAGTACTGAAAAAGTCTGTTCTGAGAAAAACGCATTTAAAGTTTTGCGTGAAGTTTTTTGCTGTCAAAGTTATAAAATGATATGTTATACTTCTTTCATTTAAACTTCAATTCTTGCTTCATGCATCGGACCTTCTTCTACTCCTAAAAAACTATTTTCTGCATTTCTCTCTTCAAATCGAGCAGTTCAGCCTCCTTTGAAGCGTTGGATGTACGTATTTCAGATCGTTCAATCCGGGCATTGTCGCGTCTGACAGCAATGAATGAGTTTCTGGCCCAATTCGCATTACCATAAGGGTCATTTTTAAAATCGGAAAGAAACCTTCATTATGCAAACAGCAATAAATGTTGCTTTTCAAATACCCGAGATCGGGAATAAATATGTTTTGGCGCAAAATCTAAATCAACGAGTTTAGAGATTCAATATTGTTCTGAGTTTCTGAACCTATACATCGAATTAATAATTCATCTGACGATATACTGTCTTAAATTGGTCTAATGACTTCCTAATGCCTTTTGTCCGATTAGACCCTGCCAAACCAGTTTGGAGAGCGAGTCAGTAAAATGCCTATATCTCCGAAAATAATTCAAATTGTCAAAAACCTTCTCGTACCCATATTCTTAGATAGTTAAACTTTGAAAATATGAAATAAAAAAGTCGATTTTTCTGAATTTCTACACTAGAATACTCCCTTAAGAATAGTCTAAATATTTTTTTCTCGTTTAAGTACTTATTACATTTATTTTTGTATATAATTTTGCATTGTTGTAATAAGTAATTTACTAATAGTTATTAATAGTTTTCTCTAAAATTGCAAGAAAAACAAAACTATAAAATTCATTGCCATCTTGCCGCTGTTTTTTAATAGCAGCAGAGCTAGAGACTTGCAAAAAATTTGAATTGTGAACCGCATTGCTTTTAAAGAGTCAAAAAAAATTCTTTGATCTACTTTTTTTTAATAATTACTGTTTCTTGTAAATATATAGTTCACTTTGTAATTTTGCTGAAACATAAACATTAGTAGTTAATTTAGATAATTTAGCTCAGTCATAACGATGATTTGTTTTCAAAAATGTGCGTTGGGGTATGGTTGCAACATTTGGTTGTGGGTTTTATCCTTTTCGGGTGAAGATGGTTAAAATTCAAATTATCATTTAATTCATTTATTTCCTAGCTAATAGGTAAATTAACAAAATTATGGCTGATCAAGAAAGGTAGCACAACCGTACGCAGTCTCCCCTACAATATCTACTTAAGTTTATCAAAAAAATTTGTTTTCGTTTATCGTTTCATTATTTTCATATGCATATTTATTTGTATATGCATACAAATATCAATTAATAATTTTATCTAATTGAGCAATGTTTCAAGAAACATTTCTTTTCTTCGCCTGAATCTTATGGTCACTTATCTCTACTAATTCTGAGCGTTATATTATCAATGTCAAGGATGCATGATTCGATAAGATGGAATTATTGATGGAACTTTGAAGATCATTGTAAAGTTCAAGCAATTTGATAAGATAATAATTACATTAAATGTTTTGGGTAAACTTACCAAGTCATCGGCCATGATGTAACAATATGAGGTCTGTCCACAAACTGCGAAGTTACTGATAGTATTATTAAAGCTAATGTGCTAAGTAGTAGCGGAACCATTTTTATAGTTTATTGACTAGATCTGCAAAAAAATCTAATTAAAAATATAATAAAAGCGAAAATATATTTCTATGGTATTAGTAAGTATTTCAAACTATTAGTAGAATATTACCACCAGCTAATATTTTTTACTGATTTATCTCTATTTGATTGAAAATCTTCTATCCTAGTATCTCTTATCAAGTAATCTGGTGTAAAGGTGTATGTACGCAATGTAATAATTATAATTATATGCTGTCAATCTCCATTTTATTACCATATTATCTATTTACATACCTTATGTTTTAATTTTATTACAACAA